ATTGTATATAATTATTTGTCCTGAAATAAAACTAGATTCATATTTTATAATGAATTGCCCATTTTGTGCAGTGTTTCCTGTGTACTCTTTGTCTGCCATTTTCATTGTTGTCGTTCTGTAAACATTGTTTGTTCTCTTTCCATCCCCTCCATCTCTGTGTGACAGAATTCTGATGCAGTTGTTAAAGTAGACGTGGTAAGTTGTTATTGTTTTGTATACCATTACACATAACTTGCATGTAACACGCCTTGTTCACCACCATGATCTTAAAGTGGCTATATGGCCATAATGGCTCCCATGAGAATGTGAAGGAAACAGCATGAGATTGGGATCACTGCCTGCGGGATGTTCATGGAGGTGAATCTGTCTCTATAAGAAACTGAAATTAATTATTTCTCTGCAAAGAACACAATTAACACTTCCCTGTCCCACTGCTTGAACCATAAATGCCTACTTCATTGTAGAAAGATCGTCATCTTCCTTCGCACTTCCAGATGTGCCGGATAACTGGCCCCCCACATTGTGCTCTGTGGTTCCTTCTGCTGGCTCCTGTGTCCTGTAATGACTTAGGGTCATCACAGAGCACAATGGGGTATGCCAGCGTCTGACCCTACTAGAAAGGTTGAATGGTCAACGTTTCCTTAGTAAAGCTTAGACTTCCAACAAAACCTAGTTTGGTGGCTCAAATATTTGGAAATTGGACAAGAACAATGGACCTGTCTGATTATTCTGTTTTATCATCCAATAGTTGTTCAGTGATGTGAATATGTCTAATCTGGCTAATGGATAGGCAACTATCACTGGCCCAAGGGGCTCCATAGTATCCTTGGCTTAACATTGAACACAGTAGATGTAGGAAATAAAGCGCCACACCGATTAAAAGAGTCCAGATACAACTTCATTCCACTAGAGTCAGGGACCAATAGAGTAGAATAGTCATTCATAGGCTGACTCTAGTGGAATGAAGTTGTATCTGGACTATTTTAATTGGTGTGGTGCTTCAGTTCCTACATCTACTAGTTTCAGGGGGCAGCTGAGTATTCACTACTTTCCTTGCACAACTGGCTTCAAGAGTCAGCATTGCCATACTTATAAAAGGGTTAGTGCAGACTAAATCATAGTTGCTCTATCTCTAAAAGTATATAAAAGACTACAGTTCCATCTAAATAAACAAACAAATTCTTACTGATTGAACATGGAGGGTCCATTACTAACTTCTCCTGCAGCTTCCTGGCTGCCATGTTGATCCATTGGCTTGATTCATTTATGAGTCACTGGGCTGGAATTGATTTGCAGACCACTCTGCCCTGGTCTTCGTGTTGTTTTTGAGTGTATGACTATATGGGATGAGTATTTTCAGGAGGTGGTCAGGCTAAATACCTGCCCAGGTTCTCTTTAATGTTTAGCAACACACAACATTCTTAACTCTCTATTGTAAGACAAAATTTGGATTCTGCTTTCCTGAAATGATATTATCACTGACACTTTGTGTGCCATTTCCCAGAGTGAGGAGGAGAAAGAAAAGAAGAAGAAAAAGAAGAAAGGGGACGAGATTGAAGAAGAGGAGCCAGATGAGAGCATGCTGGACTGGTGGTCCAAGTACTTTGCTTCTATTGAGACACTGAAAGAGGTGAGACATGGGTGCTGATTTTGTTGGCTCCCTCCTTAACCCCTGGAAGACCGCTGGAGGTTACAATTTTTGAGAAGGTCAGCTTGAGGACAATTAGTGTGATGTGAGAAGTGTCAGTCCTTCAGACCTCAATTAAAGTACATGGAAAGCAAGAGGTCTTTCCTCTGACCTCCTTCTGTATAGCCACCCTGGCATGGCCGGTGACTATTTGTCCCATCTTTGCACACTGTCTTTAATATCACCTCTGTGCACAGGGAATACACCACGGCTCTTGTTTGTAATTTTACTGAACTGGTGAAGTGATGACATCTTGCCCCATGACCAGGCACAAGCTTGAAACTGGTAAACAAAGTGACATGGAGCTCCAACAACATCTTCATCTGTCATAATTTGTCAGTTGCGTCTAGTTGGTGAAAATGCTGCAATATAGCAGGAAAGGAAACACATCTCCCGGTTACATGATGGGCCTACTCAAATATTCCAGGTTGAACATGCTCCCTGGTCCATGCTCACCACTGAAAGGGAAACATACCTCTTAGTCCCATGATGAGCCTAATAAGATATCCCAAGGGAAAAATACTCCCTGGTCAATGTTCGCCCAAGGAAGGGAAACACACTTCTCAGTCTCATGATGGGCCTAATAAGATGTTCCCTGGTTCATGTTCACCCAAGGAAGGGAAACACACCTCTCAGTCCCATGATGGGCCTAATAAGATGTTCCCTGGTTCATGTTCACCCAAGGAAGGGAAACACACCTCTCAGTCCCATGATGGGCCTAATAAGATGTTCCCTGGTTCATGTTTCCCCAAGGAAGGGAAACACACCTCTCAGTCCCATGATGGGCCTAATAAGATGTTCCCTGGTTCATGTTTGCCCAAGGAAGAGAAACACACCTCTCTGTAACATGATGGGCCTAATAAGATGTTCCCTGGTTTATCTTTGCCCAAGGAAGGGAAACACACCTCTCTCTTTAACATGATGGGCCTAATAAGATATCTGAGGGGGAACATGCTCCCTAGTGCATTTTTGTAAAGGGAAATGTAACACATCTCTCAGTCTCATGATAGGCCTGATAAGATATTCCAGGGAGAACATACTTCCTTGTCCATGTTTGCCCAGGGAAATGAAACACACATCTTAGTTCCATGATAGACCAAATAAGATATCCCAGGGGGAACATACTCCATGGTCCATGTTAGCCCAGGGGATGGAAGTACACCTCTCTGTGCACCCAGGAAAAAAGAACAAACTTCTCAGTCACCTGATGGGCCTAGTTGTTTAACAGCTTGTGTCTTCTTTCTCTGAACACCTCTGCAGTACTCCGTCTCCAACTATACCATTCTGTATAGGAGGAAGATATTCTGCAGGTACAGATCAAGACCTCAGTAACCATCTACAGTGGGAGGAAAGGGAACAAAATGTTCTGCAGTAGTAGAGGACCTTCAACCCAATGGCCCCTATGTTCTCCATATACGTTGTAAATTATATATAAATTTCCAGTGCCAAGCCCTCTTCCCTGGGTGAAATGTGTTTCCAGTAAATTACATGGCTGCCTCCCCAGTTTCATTGGGCTGCTAAATTTCACATAGCTCTTCAGATAACTTTGTAGGTGGCATGTCTGTGAAGGTTCTGAATTATTCAGGTCATGGTATAGCTGGTAGTAGTTAGTCACATTCAACTGTACTTGTTCTTTAATGTTGAAGACGTTACATAGCTTCTCCAAGCAACTTTTTTTAGTTCTGTTGAGTGTCGGGAACATACCTCAGAATTTATAACCACACTTGTAGCACAGACGCCTTCATCCAATCATCATGGAATGGGGAGATGTTGATTGTCTAAGGACAGTATGGGAGGTGTGAACGTTGTAGGACCGCCATGTTCTAGTCACATAATGTCACCCTTATAGGTGTCAGGAAGACTGTATAGGTGTTAATCCTTCAGCTGATGGTGTGAATTGTAGCTGTTCACACCATCAGCTGAAGGACTAGCACAAAATTACATTGGGCCAAAACTGTCAACAAACATTCTTCTTACGTGTCAAATAATGTGCGGTATTAATTCCACGTATTGTGCTTTTGTAATATTTTTTATTTTACTATCAAATTCAGCAACTCCGTCAGCAAGAAGCCGCAGCGGCAGAAGCCGAGGAGAAGGAGGAGATGGAAATCGCAGAGGGTAAATCTTAAAAATGTGATACGTTCTCTTTCCATTGTATGTATAGCCAGAAGCACCTCCTGATTGACATGTTCTCAGGCAGAGAGGATTCTAGGAAGTGGTTTTAGTGGTGTTTTTTTGGGGGAGATGTTTGAATAGAAGAAAATGTCTGAAAATGTGAAAGTGAACCGTTTTGCTTTGTCTACAAACTCCATCTCCATGACTTACAGCTATGAAAGTTGGCACAACATGGGTTTAAGATGTATAGACGGGTTTTAGATTTGATTCCTTATCAAATGTTATGATCAATGCAGTGTTATGTTAGTGTAAAGCTTATGGGAAATAGTTACATGTATTTTATTATTATTAATGATGTTGATGTCAAAGCATGCCAGGCACCCACTATAATAACTTCATATCTCATCATTCATGGTTGAAAATGAAACACTGAAAGGGGTTATTCACTAAAGAGCCGAAGGATCCAGCCGTAGCTTCAGGCTGATCCTTTGGCTCTCTTCGGCCGCTGGAGCCCTTTGGTCAAACCGAAGGGCTGCTGTACAGGCTATTCACAATAAACCGTACAGCAGCCAAAGGCAGGCATATGCTTCGGTTCGTCTGAGCCGAAGTGACCGTCGAAGCAGGGCGAACGGCCTGCCGAAGGCCGGCCATTCGCCCAGCAAATGACAGCTGGGCAGAGCCAGCTGTGGTCTCACGGCTCACTCCGCCCAGTTGTAATGACCGATCGGCATCCCCAAATGACCTGGGGACACTGATCTGTCAATAAACAATCTGTCAATAAACAATAACACATGGGCGGAGCCGGGCGTGACGTCATGGCCAGCTCCGCCCCAGGTTGTTATTCATTGTCCAGGACCTGCTAGAAGCATCTAGCAGGTGCCGGCCAATAGGAAACAGTTGGGCGGAGCTAGCTGTCACTGCTAGCTCTGCAAGAACGACAGCGAGTGAGCTGTCAGAGCTTCGGCTCAGCCGATCCAGATGTTGGATCGGCTGAGTCGAAGTCCTTCTGCAATTCGCAGAGCATGTTCGGCTGACCGAAGGTAGCCGATGTACAACTGATTCTAGCCGATGTACGGCTGAAATCAGCCATACAAGGCTGAAGTGAATAGCTGAACAGCGTTCGACTCACTTCACTTTGACTCGGTTATTCACTCGGCTGCCTTTGACAGCTTAGAGAATAACCCTGTAAGTCTTACCAAAATCAACATTTTAGCTACGGGTGGAACCTGGTGTGTAAAATCATTCTCTGGCTTGTTATATCTCTCTGGGCCTCTTATTTCCAAATATACTTTCTGGCTCTGCACACTCCTCTAGCCATTGCAGAGACAGGAATATACAGGATAATTCAATTTGCTCAAATCTTCATAGTGTAGAAGAAAACCAAAAACAAATGTAAAAATAAAAAAAAAGAGATGACAGTGGTGGCGAAGGGAGGGGCAATGGCTACATTTTAAAAATTGTACAGTACATCCCCTTTAGGACATGCATAATATTGTATATACCGTGTTTCCCCGAAAATAAGACACTGTCTTATATTTTGTTTGGCTCAAAAAAAACACAGTAGGTCTTATTTTCCGGGAAGGTCTTATTTTTTTTTTTTAATTGTATAACAATCCAAAGTTAACGCAAATCCAAATTAAATAATCCAAAATGGCAAAGTTAAGAATGGGGTGATCAGGGGTGCCGCACCTTTCCAAGAGCAATTTGGTAACCAATTGCTGGCCAGAATGAGTGAAGCGCGCTTTCACTATCGATTCCTCACAGGCGGAGAGCATTTGGTATCGCTCCGCCTGTGACAGGAGCCGGCGCTATAGAGGAGGCATCGGCTTATGCGGCTCTGCTCCCTCCGCTGCCGCTGGCTTCATTGGCACCGCTGATTGTCTCCCGCGGCTCTTCAAGTTCCCCCTTATGCCACCACCGGCCCTGGGAATGGTCACAGCTAGGTCTTATTTTCGGGGTAGGTCTTATATTTTAGCAATTCCCAAAAATAGTACTAGGTCTTATTTTGGGGGTAGGTCTTATTTTTGGGGAAACGGTAGTATACTGGTAAGTATTGTGACTTCTGCAATACATGTATTATTTCTGTTGAGGTTCGATGGCCTTTTATCTGACCTCAGCGTGCTGTCCACAGAGGAAGAAATATACATGGATTTAGAAGGCGATAGCTGGAGCCGGGAGGTCTTAGACTCGCCCCCTGCTCCGAACTATCTGTCAACTTTCATGCACATCGTGGTTGAGTGTCTTGTGTTGGTTCCTTCCATCTCCACTCCATCCAACCCTTGTGTAATGGCTCAGAGATCAAAATTGATGAATCTCCCATGAAAGGCGCCAAGGGTCAGGTGAAGAACAAAGAAAAAGTCAAAGCGCCCAAAGAGGACAAGAAAAAGAAGCACCTAGCCGAGCAAGCGGAGAAGAAGAACAAGCAGAAGATTGATGAGTTAAAGGTATGTGGCGAGTGGGCGCAATCTGAACATATCATGTGATACCTGCGCCCTTCTTTTAAAATATAAAAGATTCTTGTCCCTTTTGTAAAGCATTTTTGAAGGTACTTATAGTTCCTAAGAATATTTATTCTGAGAAATACCTATTTTCATTAAAGGAGAACTATGGGGTCAGTGCTTTTCCTCATAGTTCTCCTTAGGGTAACGGGAGGACACAAATTAGCGTCCTCCCATTACCCTAAGCTCAGTATATAGGGAGCTACAACTCGCGGTATACTGAGACACCAGAGCGGATCCTGACATTGATGTCAAGATCCGCCCAGCTGCGTGAGTGACAGCTGGCTCTGCCTATCTAGAGGCAGAGCCAGCTGTAACCGCCCCCTCCCCCGTCCGTTCCGCCAGTCAGCGCTGGCGGATCGGAGCGGGGAGGGGGGAATCCAGTCCCTCCCCTGTCACGACAGAGAGCCGTGACAGGATCGAGAGGTGAGCGAACGCCGGTATGTGTTCACTCACCTCCCGATCTACTCAGCCGACCTGTGACAGTCTCATTGTCACAGGTCGGCTAGACCTATGAGGTGAGTGAAAAGCACCCCCCCTCATAGTTCTCCTTTAAAACAGTTGACACTATTGTCATGTCCATTGAGGGAATCCATCCTATATGACATTCCTCTGTAATATAGCTACTAACAAATGTAGTGATTGATGTCAGGCAAGAGAAAGAGAAGCTGAACAGTAGAACCTATTAATGTCCATAGCCCGGCCACATATTTATTGTAATGTCCTTAGAAGGGACCTTGAAACAAAATGTAAATTCAATGTATCTTGTAAAACTTCTTAAAACCCTGTGGTGAAAAAACACAGCTAAAAACAATAAAAGAAAAGGATAAAAGTCGCTCCCGGCTTCCATCCACTTCCTGTAAGCTGAGGTGACATTACTGGGCCTTCTTCTGGGATCCTGGGAACAGTGAGGAGCCCAAATCCTCATGAGAAGTTGCTCTAGCACTCTGTACTTGGGAGATTTTGGATCCTAAGCTTTCCCAGAATTCTGGAAGAAAGCTCTGTGATCCGATCTCAGCAGAACTCAGAGGGTATGAAGAACTATTTTTAAACTTTTGAGGGTTTCTTATGTAACTATGCTTTCTTACATAGCGTGGGTCTTCCAGTTAAGAGGACCTTACATTTTAATATAAGGTGTACTTTAAGAGAAATATGTAGGGATGCACCGATAACGGTTTTTCGGTATCGAGTACGAGTACTGATATTTTTTTTCTGGTACTCGCCGATACCCAATACCGATACCGGAAGTCCCATTAAGGAAGTCAGGCGGCGTGTAGTGACTCACCACCTGGCTTCCTGATTAGCCGTGAAGCCGGGCGGTGTGTAAAGACTCGCCACCTGGCTTCCCGATTACCAGGGAAGCCGTCTTCATGCTTCTCGTCACTAAGTGGCAAGAAAGCATGGAGCCGGCTTTCTGGCCAATCAGGAAGCGCCAATCTGGAAGCAGGGCGCCGAGTATTGACGCGGTGCCCAGGTTCCTGATTGGCCGGGAAGCCAGCTCCATGCTCCTTCATCACGAGGTGACGAGGGAGAATGGAGCCGGCTTCCCAGCCAATCAGAAAGCCGGGCGCCGCGTCATTACACGGCGCCCGGCTCCCTGATTGGCCAGCTTCCCGTCCAATCAGGAAGCCGAGCAGCAAGTCATTACATGCTGCTCGGCTTCCTGATTAGCTGGGAAGCCGGCTCCATGCTCCCTTGTCACAGGTGACGAGGGAGCATGGAGCCAGCTTTACGGCCAATCAGGAAGCCAGGCAGCGTGTAATGACTCACTGCCCAGCTTCCTGATACCGGAAGCTGAAGTATCGGGCCAGGCATCGGAGCATTTGGGCGAGTACAAGTACTTGCCCATATACTCGGCATCAGCACCGATACTAGTGTCGGTATCGGTGCATCCCTACAAATTTGGTGTCTGCCATCACTGACCTTCTGAAGTGGTAGTTGCCTGGCTGATATGCTGAGCCTTTGGCTATGTAGATTAGGAAAGTCGGAAAAGTTTAGAAGTCCTGATCTACATACCTGCTCCAGGCCAGTAAGGTGAAGTACTTAAGCCAGAGGCTCAGAGTAACAGCCAATAAACAAGCATTTCTGGAATTTGATCATTAAATACAGTTTTGCTGCCATAAGACATAATACAGTAATGCTCAAAAGTGATTTCAGCCTGTGAAAGTGTAAATCTGGAAGCCAAGGTCCGATCTTAAAGTCCAATTGAGGCAATTTCTTTATCTTTGCTATGCAGTTGTTTTTGAACTAATAAAAGTTGAGCTACTCTGTGCAAACAGCTTGCCAGAGACCCACCCGGACAGAGCGCGGCAGTCTGAGTCTCCAGTGATCCAACACGCCCCTCTGTACAGTGCTCCCATCAACAATGCTGCTCCAAAAGTGCTCTGAAAATTGCCATGTGTAGAGCCATCTTTAGAGATTAGATTGAAGGGCCGATTTTGGTTAAAGTTGGATAAAGTTGGCATTGTTGGTTAAAGGAGAATTATGAGGCGACCTGTGACAATGAAACTGACACAGGTCGGCTCAGTAGATCGGGAAGTGAGGGGACGCATACCGTCTCTCGCTCACTTCTCGATCTATCCGTGCAGAGAGCTATGACTGTCACTCACGGCTCCCCGCAGGGATTCCCCCGCTCCGATCCTCCAGCGCTGACTGGCGGAACGGACGGGGGAGGGGGCGGGTACAGCTGGCTCTGCCTCTAGCTAGACAGAGCCAGCTGTCACTCACGCAGCTGGGCGGATCCAGACAGTAATGTCGGGATCCGTCCCAGCTGCGACGGTCTCAGTATACCGCGAGCGGCAGCTCGCAATATACTGAGCTTTGGGTGACGGGAGGACGCTAGTTTGTGTTCTCCCGTGACCCTAAGGAGAACTATGGGGAAAAACACTAACCCCCATAGTTCTCCTTTAAAGAACTGGGGACCCATAACAAATGACTTCATTTGTGTTTTTTGGTTTCGGTAGGTGTTCTTTTGTGAATGTTCTCTGTCTCCTGACTCCAGTCCTTATGTTTGGTCACATCCAGGTCTTCAACAAAGAGCTAGAAACTGAATTTGAGAATTTTGAAGACTGGCTGCACACATTCAACTTACTAAGAGGGAAGATCGGGGATGATGATGACACAGTCAGCGAGGAGGAGCGGATAGTGGGAAGGTTTAAAGTGAGTATCACGCAGTGCCCAGTAGACATGTGCACTGGCAGAAAATTCATTTCGTTTTGTGTCGTTTTGATTCTGATTTTGTGTTATTTTGTTTTCCAGGATTCGGGTGTGAAAGTCAATTCGGATTCGGGATTCGGACGAAATTCGTTAGCGGTAGTTCGTTCGAACGTTCGTTTCGTTTTCGTTTCTTATTCGTTTCGTTCGTTGCAGCAAAGTGACGTTTGAGGGAGGGGGGGGAATGTTTTTCTCCTTCTCTAATGTCACTTTGCTCCAACGAACGAAAGTAACGAAACGAACAATCGGACGAACTACCGCTAAGGAATTTCGGAAACGGAAATTCGGATTCGTTTGCATTCGTTATATCTGTATTTAGAAATTGGGATACATACGAATCTCCGAATTTCCGAAATTCCGAAACGAATGGCACATGTCTAGTGCCCAGTAGGAGCTGCTGGACACGGTACATTTGATGGGCACGGTTATGCTCAACGTCTCCTTTCTCTGGATTCATCTGGAAAATGTTTAATATTGCTAAAAATGTTTTTATTTCGTTTTGTGACATAATCCAGAAGTAACGAGATGCTTGAAAGAAAACCGGGAATCCATCGTTAAGACTGCAAAGCAATCAAAGATATAAAATGGTGGCTTCAAATGACCACACGCAGATGGAAATCAACATTGTCCCGATTGAATCTGGTGAAAAACCCGGATAACGTTTGACAAAATTATTTTCCCGTTTCAGTTTCATTTCACTAAAACTTTTTCGGGGGCTTTTAACTTATTTCTCAGTTCTGACGAGTCGATCAAACTCCCGGGCGTATCATTGTTTAGTTTATTTCAATTTATTACGATCGCGTGCGCGATTTCCACTGGCTCCACAAGTGGTCTGAGTATTGCCGTGCGTAGAGCCAGTCTGAATGAGCGTAGAGATCAGACTGAATGCCCAATTGTATGCGTTAGATCAGCAGTTCTCAACCTGTGTAACCTCAGGACCCACATTTGTCCTTGGACATTAATTCGCGACCCGAGTCGCACTGCAATGGAATGCACGGCATTAGGGCACTGCGCATTACGGTGCAGGCGTACGAACTATGGGTGGGAGGTGCGTTTGAGGTACCATTCAACGCAACGCACCTCCCTCACCAGAATGCACAGTAGGTGTGATTGCATGGTACACTGCGTTAATCACAAATTACTATGAGATTTAATGCACTGTACTAGTGTGAACAGGCCCTCAAAAACACTGACGCAGTCTGATACACAAGGATACACATGTTTTCATTTAATTTTTTTTTAAGGTCCACCCAGTCTCCCTACCTTATGATAACTGGAGTGGATTCTCTGTCTGGGGTCCGGTGTGGGCTGCTGTGCTGTGACGGAGCTCCATCCATATGTGCTTTGCTTGTACATCTCCCTTGTGCCTTGTAGAGGTCAAGAGCCAGAATCTGATGTCACCATGGCACCTCTATAGGACACGTGAGGGAGCTGTAAGCAATGCTCGAATGGATGAAGCTTCCTCACGCCCATAGCTCCATCGCTTCCCACTTCAAGCTGACACTTGGTGCCGGGCAGCATATTTTCAATGGCTGTTTGGTGCCAGAACTGTGCTAGGGGGAGGCTGAGGAGCCTCTCGCCTAGAAAAGTGAAAGGCATGAGGCGACCCCCCAGAACACGACCCACCAGTTGAGAACCAAGGTGTTAGAAGATTCCACCAAACAAGGAACTCTGCAAAGCTTTTCTCTCGTGTTTTTCTGATCCATGAATCCAACTACAGATATGAAATATTTTCTCTGCAGGGTTCTATGTGTGTGTACAAGGTTCCACTACCCGATGATGTCACCAAAGAATCCGGCTACGACCCCAACTTTGGCACGTTCCAAGGAATTCCCAGTAATGACCCTATGAATGTGCTGGTGCGGGTCTACGTTGTGAGGGTAAGCAGCAGCGGTGCCATTGTGTTTTGTATCATATTACTCCCCTGGTGAACATAGGTCTGCAAAGGAGGAATGAAGAAGAGGTAGACGCCAACCCTGGTTCTAACAATAATAAATGTTTAGTGTTAAGTTTCAGATTTAAAGGGAATTTATAGTATTTTCTTGATTTAGTAAGTTCAGAAACGTACAGGTACAGCTTCATGACAGTCTAAATAAGCACCAAATGCAGTTACGATGTGATGTACAAGCCTCAAAAAGTAATAAGTTACCTTCCCTGACTAAACCAAATCCTCCATTTGTGTCTCACACCCTCCGCCTCTCAGACACTGCAGCTCACAGTGGGGGGTTTTAGCTACAGAAGTAGGGCTCCCAATCTAGAAATAAGTGGGCAGGACTAGGTGTGGCCAGATGCTGATTGACAAGCAACAGGCTTGTCAATCAGCAGTGACATAACTGAGAGCCACACCCCCCTGGAACATCTTCTCCTCCCACTGTAGTGTAAGCAGGTACATCCTACATGAGGGTGACAACTCTGCTATGAATTCAGGAGCAGTGCAGCATCATTGTCACCCCATCACAGGAAGCTGCATTCACAGGCAGATATTTTTGTGACTCTGCAGGGAGACTAAGGGGGTTATTCACTCAGCTAGCCGAAGAATCAGACGTAGGTTCGGCTGATCTTCGGCTAGCTTCGGCCGCCGGAGCCCTTCGGTACAGTCGAACCGAAGGGCTGCTGTATGGGCTGTTCACTACAGCCCGTGCAGCTCGACAGAGCCGAAGTGACTGCCGAAGCGGAGTGAAGTGCCGGCCAAATGACCTGATCTGTCATTGGCCGACTCTAGCAGGTGCCGGCCAATAGGAAACAGTTGGGGCAGAGCTAGCTGTCACTGCTAGCTCCGCCCAATTGTTTTTCTTTCTTTTTTAAATCTTTATTTATTGTTTTACATTTAGAATTTCTTTACATTTAAAAAAAAACATGTAACCTTTTTGTTTAACGTTTTTTATTCATTTGCTATTCTGCTCGGTAACACGGAGGTACCGAGCAGAATACCTGAGCAGATTGGCTCACTCACTGCCGTTCGGCCCCTATGTGAACAGGGGCGAACGGCAGAGAGTGAGCTGCTGGAGCTTCGGCTCAGCCGATTTAGATGTTGCATGACCGAAGTTCAGCAAAAGCAGCCGATGTACGGCTGAAATCAGCCGTACTGAACCGCAGTGAATAGCCGGACGTTGTTCGGCTTACTTCACTACGGCTCTGTTATTCACTCGGCTGTCTTCGGCAGCTTAGTGAATAACCCCCCTAAGAGAAAACTTGCAGTGAAGATAAGCTTATTAAGTCTTGCAGTCAGGGCCGCCATCAGGGGGGATACGGCCGGTACTCATGTAAGGGGCCTGGGGGGGCCCCGTCCGGGACCCTTTCATGATTATTGGCCGACGGTAACAGGTGAGGAGGGTGCCGGGCCCCATCGGACCCGCTGCTCTTCTGATCTCGGACTGTCCGGAAGTGACATTGTGTCACTTCCAGCCAGTCCGGCGGAAGAGGAGGCCAGGTGTACAGGCACCAGGAGCAGCTAGGAGGGGCTGGGAGGGAGGGAGATGCATCCCTGACCAGCCCACCTGAGGCCCTGCAGAGCCCCCCATAGAGAGTATCAAATGGGCTGTGCAGCATCTATGGTGGGCTCTGCAGGGTCACTCTCAGGTATGGGTGGGTTCTCAGGTGGGTCCTGCGTCCAGCGCGTCGGGGGGCTCGGCCTAAAGCCGTGTAAGGGGCCCCAAAATTTCTGATGGCTGCCCTGCTTGCAGTACATATATTTTTAATGAGAGGCCATAGTTCTAGTTAAAAAAAACACTGTTAGATACTGTAAATATGAAATAACATGAACATTGCAGTGGCACCTGATTTTGCAGCCTGAATTCTTACAGCTGCCATATACAAGGAGGGTGGAGAAGATTGGGCTTGGTGCTTGGTGCAACCTTTCATCGAAAACAGTCCCTTTGGTGTCCTGCCTATTGCACAGGCATGCTGGACCCTCATTCATTCCTATCCCTGTAGCTATTCATTCCTATAGCTGGAGTCTTTCCATTATGCACCTAGGACTATTATTGTTGGAGAACCCGACCAACCCAAAGTGGTTATAGTGAATTATATCAATTGTTTCTTTTCATTTCTCTTGTAGGCTACAGATTTACATCCCGCTGACATCAATGGGAAAGCTGATCCTTACGTGGTTATTAAACTGGGCAAGACTGAGATCAAAGACAAAGAGAACTACATCTCCAAACAACTAAACCCTGTCTTTGGAAAGTGAGTCACCCCGCGTTCTGATAGGTCTGCCATATCAAAGCTGTTCCATCTAGAGTCTAGAGCAGGGGCGCCCACAATTCTTCGTCTGGAGATCTACTTTTCAAATGACGAGCTCAATGAGATCTACCAACGAAAAAAAAACACCTGCGTTCAGGGGCGGGAGGAGGCGTGGCGGTGCATTGAAGTCAATGGCACCGCAGCCACGCCCCCCAGTGCAATTGCCGCACCAGGAATACAGACACATTAGTGCCTGCGTTCTGGTCCAGGGCGATCTGCAAAAATGCTGCATTTTTGCAGATCGCGCTGGACCGGAACGCAGGCATTAATGTACCTGTGTTCCAGGTGCGGGCGATCACACTGAGGGCGGGGGGCATGCCTGTGGTGCCATTGACTTCAATACACCGCCACGTCCCCTCCCGCCCCTGAACGCAGGGAGCCGGGCCGGATTGCGTTCCAATGCGTTCTAGAGGCCGAACACTCTGGAACGCAGACTTTGTGGTGTGAACCGGCCCTCTGTTCTCTCTCTCCTCGTGCTCTCTCCTCTCTCTCTCCCCTGTTTCTATCGGCTGTCTCTTCTCTCACTTTCTCTACTGTCTCTCTCCTCTCTCTGCTGTCTCTTTCCTCACTTTCTCTGCTGTCTCCTTCCTGTCTGTCTTTTCTTACCTCCACTGCTGCAGCTTCCCAAGTCTCCTCTCCTCTCTCATTCCCGTCTGCGGCGTCTGACACATTCAGCCGCACGAGCACCGCGGGAGGACAGGACACAGGTCAGTGAGCCGATCGCGATCTACCAGTGTTCGCTTTGCGATCTACTGGTAGATCGCGATCTACCTAATGGGCACCCCTGGTCTAGACCAATCTATCGGACCAGACATGTTGTTCTATCATGGGGCCATTGTGTAAATGCTTCCTGTGCATACTGATGTAACATGTGATACATAACCTACATCTCCAAGCTTGTTGTCTCCAGTGCTCTCCAACGCTATTTATCTTTCACCAGATCATTTGACATTGAGGCCACATTCCCCATGGAGTCCATGCTAACAGTGGCGGTTTATGACTGGGACTTGGTGGGGACTGATGACTTGATTGGAGAGACCAAGATCGATCTGGAGAACCGTTATTACAGCAAGCACAGAGCAATGTGCGGGATATCACAGACATACGCCACGTATGTATAATGTATTTCCTTATACGTTATCTATTATAAATGTTTTTCATACATTTTAGTTGTCATATTCTATGCAATGTCTTAAGAAGCCATCATACTATAGCACCCCCCTGGATTCTAAGGACAGGAGGGGTTGACATTTCACCTCAGGGATGGATCCTTAGCAGGAATGTGGCATGTGTGGAGTGAAATAGGTGCAGCGCTCACCCCCGAAGGAGCCGCTGAGTATGAAATAGGTTCTCCTACCTGTTTGTTCCAGCCACCGGTCCTCTTTGTTCAGCAACAGCACACCGACACTCACGGACAGAATGGACTCGAGTCTCAGGGTCTTTTTGTAGATTTATTTGCAAAGGTCAACAGGAGAGAGAGGGTTTAGGATCTGTAGGATGCCCGGACGGATTCTTCAGAGGACAGCTTTCTCCCCTAGCAACCGCTAAGGCCGAAAGCACTGTGATCCGGTCCCAGGGACCAATAGTATTAGCAATACTGTGAACAGCCAGGATGGTCCAGTAACTTATATGGAGACGGTTAGCTATCTCTGGACTCAGGTAAGGACCGATGGCTTCTTCTAGAACAGACACCTGGAATAGGGTGAGGGATCTCTCTTGTGGGTCCCAGACGGACGCTCTCACCAGCTCCTCTGCGGTACCCCTCAACAAGAAGACTCTCCCTCCGGCCCAGCTTCCATCAGGTCTTTTCCTCTTCAGGATCTGGAATCTCTGTGCCCACAGCATGTGCAACTGCCAAGGAGCACTCCAGGTTAGTGGTAGTATCTTCTTAGAACAAGGCACCCAACACCTGCCACGTGTAGGGGGCCCAAGCAAAGTTCCTATGGTGTCCTATGCCTCCAGGCCCCCAGCACCTGCCATGTGCTGAGGCCCAGGCCATTTGCTTGCATCACATCAACCTCCTAGGGTGAGGCCCCAGGAGGGGAAGAGACCTCTGCACAGTGTCCCCAGACCTTTTATTACCTGCCCGAGGAGATATATATTTGTCAAAGCGAAAATTAATACAAATTAATAATACTCTTTTTACACCTACTCCACCCACCCCACCCCACAACAAATCAAATAGTAGAGGGGAAGAAGATTGCCAAGGACCCTCACACAGGACCTCACTGCCCTCCTACAGCTCCCCCCAAAGAGGTTGTTCACTTTACACGTTAATTTGCACGTTGTGGGGAAGTTTCCCCTTAGCTTTGTGAATGTGATGAAATTTCACTTTGCAAAAAATATCCAATCATGTGAAAGGGGAATAAATAAAAGTATTTGTGCTTGCACAGGATTGGGCCATAGATGTCAGCAGAGCTTCACCTCATTCACTAGGCTAAGGGGAAATTTTCCTTAAAAAAAAGAAAGGTTTAATATTTAGTGCCTGGAGGGAGCGAGCTGTGTTAGGAAATTGACTCTTCTTGGAAGAGTCAAAATTGCTAGTAAGTCTAAAGGTTCATTGCAAGTGAATAAAAAATAATTTATGGTAAAGGAAAATGCTGCAACTTGGCATTTCAAATACTTGATTTATATGTGAGTTGACCTGCGTTTTTTTGAGTTAATGACAGGCTCTCTTTAATAATGAAAAATTACAAACAAATAAAAGATTATCTTAAAGGAGAACTTTGAGGTGAGTGATTTTAACTCAACCTCATAGTTCGAGCCGACGTGTGACAATGAGACTGTCACACGTCGGCTCAATAGATTGGGGCATACCGTCGCTCGCTCACTCCTCGATCATTTCCCAGCAGAGAGTGGTGACTGTCACTCACGGCTCCCTGCAGGGATTTCCCCCACCGACCCCCTCTCCGATCCTATAGCGCTTAATGGGGGAACGAACGGTGGAGGGGGCGGGTACACCTGGCTCTGCCTCTAGATAGGCAGAGCCAGCTGTCAATCACACAGCTGGGTGGATCTCGACAGTAATGCCGCGATCCTTCCCGGCTGCGGCGGTCTCAGTATACCGTGAGCTGTAGCTCCCTATATACTGAGCTTTGGGTCACGGGAGGAGGGTTTGTTTATGTCCTCCCGTGACCCTGAGGAGAACTATGGGGGAAAGCACTGACCCCCATAGTTCTCCTTTAAAGAAATTAACTTCTTACAATTCAATGAAAAAGAAAAACCCACTTCACACTTACACAGATAATCTCGGCAATAAAGGGTTTCCACAAACTCCAGGCCCGGCGCCATCCCTATAGGTTATTATTACCAACACTTTAGTACTATTTTACAAAGCCGTCTACTGGAATACTTTAAAGGAGAACTATGGGGTCAGGGCTTTTCCCCATAGTTCTCCTTAGGGTAATGGGAGGGCACAAACTAGCTTCCTCCCGTCACCCTATGCTCAGTATATAGGGAGCTGCTGCTCGCTGTATACTGACACGCCACAGCCGGAGCGGATCCCGACTTCGATGTCGAGATCCGCCCAGCTGCGTGACTGACAGCTGGCTCTGCATACCTAGAGGCAGAGCCAGCTGTACCCGCCCCCTCCCCCGTCCGTTCCGCCAGTCAGCGCTGATGGATCAGAGCGGGGAGGGGGGAATCCATCCCCTCCCCTGTCACGGCAGAGAGCCGTGACAGGATCGAGAAGTGAGCGAACACGGGCATGTGCTCGCTCACCTCCCGATCTACTGAGCCGACCTGTGACAGTCTCATTGTCACAGGTCGGCTAGAACTATGAGGAGAGTGAAAAGCACCCCCCTCATAGTTCTCCTTTAACTCAACATGTACCAGAAATGAATTCCTAAAGAAAGCTCTTAAAGACTCCTTTTCATTAATCTCTAAGAACTGTCTGCCCCTATCATTATTAAAGAGTGATACTAAAATATACAGATATAGATTATCCCAGATACTTAAGATTATCAACAAAGACCGAAAGACAGACTTAATTGAAACTGGATTCTGCAAAGTTCACGTCTCTATGGCAAACAATCTAATCCAAAACCAAAAGTAAGATAATACAGTCCATGAACCTCCCCATAGATGCCAAAAAAAGCTTTTGAGTTAATTGTCTCTATTCAAGGAAATCTCTTAAGGGTGCCCACACACCTTACGATAATCGCGGGAAATCCCGCGATCGTATGATTATCGTAAGGTGTGTGGAAGCCGTGCGACCTCTGCTACTGTACGGTCGCACGACTTTAAACTTACGAACATGTTCGAAAGCCCGCCGAGCATGGTACGATGTTCGGCGGATGTGTAGCATGTTCGTTAGATAAAAGCCGGACGGGCCGGTGTGCACAAGCGCATACTGCCCGTTCGCCATTGCGGTCATCAGAAGCCCTCCCCTCAGAGGGGCGCGGCTTGCGATCATCGCACGTACGATCTGCCTGTCCAAGATAGGCAGATCGAACGTTTTTTTTAGTACCTTACAACCATCGCAAGACAAAAGTCTTGCGATGGTTGTAAGGTGTGTGCCCAGCATTAGAAATGTAATTTCCCTACATCCATAATCCCATAAAACCAGCCCCCCTCCCTTCTAGCAGTTGCTCAGCAGCCTTCCAGTTTTTAATCTAATATCTAATGATCTAATATTTATCTAATATAAACACAACAGGAGCTCGGGGACTTCAAGTCCTTCTCTCAGCAGCTCAGCTTCCCCAGTTGACCATTTTCATGATGTTCATAGGGCCACCAAAGCTGGTGGAACAAACAGAAACATGTCGATTGTTTTATAAATATAAAAATTAGGATTTGCTCCTGCTCTGCAGCAGGCCATAGCTGAGAACGGTTACATTAAGAAAAATTTAGATTTTCTCCTCTGAACCAACTGGAGCCTCCCTTCTTGTGTCAGTCATGATGATGGTGATGGGCACAGACACACCGAGCTCCTTCTCTTTGCTAATGATTTAAAAGCAAGGCGAGCACAGACACAAAAATATTCTGGGCGTCTTGTTTAGGGTAACGGCTAATTTTCCTTTTAGCAACTCATGAGAGCAGACAAAAAAACAAAAAAATATTTTTTTGATGGGTTATATCTGTAAAAAAAAAAAAAAAAAAATAAGGGCAGATAAACACTGA